TCCCATCATGCACTGCATGGGGCATAATTTTTTTTTTACACAGTGCACACTCATTCTCTCATATCAAGGCCAAAATTTACTGCTCACAGCTTTTCTCAGGGAGCTGAGCTCAAAACATAAATCAATGTTGGTGACCCTGGCATTAAAACACAGTAAGGCCCCACTTATATGGCAGGTTATGTTGCAGGCTACTGCTCGAAAGCAGAACGCCATTGTTTTTCCATTTATAAATGCAAATAAATGCCAGATAACAAGTTTACACTAACATATATTACGTTAGCAATAGAACTAGGCATTAAAAACAATAAAAAGTAAAACACACACAATACACCCATTACCCACCTTAAAATATTTGTAGTCTTAATGTAGAGCGAGAGGTTAGTCGTATTTATTTGTACGAAGTCAGGTGTAGGAAGTATGGTAGCCAGCCAGGGAAGCCCACCCCACCCCACCCACATATAATGTAAACAAATAGACATCTGTTTTTGGTTGATACACGTTCATTCCCATGTCTGTGAATCTTATACCATAATACAAACACTTTACACTGTGTACAAGCTGTCTCCACATTGATACAGTAAAATAAATAAAGAGGAACACACTCAGTCTCATGCAACACCATTTTAGGAGAGATGATGCTCTAAGCGAAGGCACACGAGAGGAATAATTTTCTAGTTACCCCCAGTAATATTATAGTGTACATATTTTCTCTGATGTTGGACTAGAGAAAACGTTATTCTTGCCATCACTCCTACAAGTCGCCTGGCTACCATATCTCATATTTATGTTAATTTATTCTACTGTGGGGTGTATTTATCATGTTTATATGTTATGTAGTGTGTTTATTATATAATTTTTACAAAAATATCATAGATGGATTAATGGAAATGTCTATATTAATGTAATATACGACAATGCAAGATTATCATTATTTATTAATATGGCGTCAAGAGTAGAGAGACTCTTAGTGACTTTAATGTATACCTGCATGCCAGCAATGTGTAAGTATATTTAGGTACAGGTACACATGAGTATAATTATCAGAGTGCATATAAAATATGCACTAACTTTAAAACATGAAATTTTGGAAAGTTTCCAGGCATAACAGAGATGTGCTCATGGAGAATGTAAACAAATCAGGTGGGGCACACCATATTAGAAAGATGGGAGCCGTATAGCAAGTTTTGGTCATAATTTGAAATCACTGTATTAGAAGAACACCATAAGACAAAACGCCATAGAGCGGGGCCCTGCTGTACCTCGCCAATATTTATGATACTCTCAACAATGTGATAAAATATACTTATGTTCTTGAAGTTTATATAGAAGAAAAGCCTTGCTTTAATCATGCACTCCATAGTCAATGGCATTATTTTAACTTTTTTTCTCAGTATAGTACAGCAAAACTTGGTAAACCAGACTGTTGGAACCAAGGCCAGGTCAGATATGTTATTTCACTATCACAGACTTTTATTTCACAGAGCTGCAATAAAAATACTCATGAAAACAAAATAAATTCAAAAGGGTCATTCAGCACTACATGGCAGAGAACACGCCTCAAAAGAAAGAGCAGAAAAATAGGCTGCAAAGGACAATTAGAGGGCAGGGAAAGATTGAGCTAGAATATAGAAATTAAAGAAAATGTAACAAAGCTGTCTCCAACAGAAAATTAGCAAGTACTATCTGTATGAAAGATATTTTCAGAGATAAGGTCCTAAAGGGTAAGTGCAGAAGGGTGCATAAAAAATAATGCCAGGTCACTGCAGCATCACTGCAGTGACCTACAAGTTTGGCATATCCAGTGCATCATCACGAGATTACATATTCCTATACGTAATTGTAATTCATATGAGGACACCTAAAAGGTGTGGCGACAGAAAACACTATTGGTTGTGAATACATACATACCAATGATATTGTCAATGAGCATACAAAAATTGGGTGAAAACTGCATAATATCTTGAAAAGGGGAACTGCACGAGAAAGACTGGGAAGTCCAGAACCACTTGACAGACTAATCTACTAGTTCTTTCTCTAAAATACTGGAATGACTAAGGGCCCAGCAAAAGACAACTATTTGGTGTCTGTTAAAGAGGCAATAGAGCCAAAACCTAAAACAAACAAAGCAAGTTGCTATTGTTAGCCAACACTTCCGATCCTGGAGAATTTGTATCGTTTCAGTGAGAAACTAATGCTCCAGGGCAAATTAGTATTCATGGTACACACGACATTCAATTTTCATGGGTTTTTGTCTTCCCATGAATATAATAATTATTTACTAGGCTTGAGGTACTTTAAATCTTTTCATTCACCAGAAACTAAACTCACTGGGATAATGAGAGACGCAATCTCCCCACCCGATATCAGATCCTGAGGAAAGAGAGGGAGCAGAGGGGTAGGAAGAGCTGCACTGTTCATTAAAAACCGATGGGGATTTGAGGAAATGGAAGGAATGGACGAAATGGGAGAAAATGTACATTTTTTATCGCATTTTCTACACTAACCCATTCTTGGGCCAGTTATAAAATTTGCTACTCCTCTTATCTGATAACTGTGAGGGTAAACCACTTGACTGTCATGTTAATTATTTTATAGCTAATAGAGAACCCACTGTAATACTAATCTCAAAGAAAAATCTACCGAAAAAAAATGTTTTTGAAGGTGATATCCAATAATGTTGATGCCTATCCTGATGCAGTGAAGTGTTTAGGAACATTCTGTTATTGCAGCAGTATAGCAGTACTGTTATAACTGTGCAAAGCTATTTTCAATTGTTGCCTCTAAAAAAAAAAAAAAAAAAAAAAAAAGGATGTATGTATAACTAGAAAGTGTGGTTACTTCCTAAAGTGAGCAGGGGAGGATAGGTAGGTAATAAATTAATTGAAAAAGATTTAATTAATACATAAGAAATTTTAACTGCATGATCAAAAGGAATAAAATAAAAAGGAAAAAATAAGCAGCAGTTAAGTGAATGGAAAAATTAAAGAAATGTGAGGGAGAAAATACAAATATTAGTTAATGAATCATCACAAGGCACACATGGAGAATAAAAAATTATCACATGTAGGCTATGTTGTGAACTGGCAAAGGTACTAACAATCACTGAAAACATAGGATGTATATCTAACAAGATGGTTGAAAAACACATGCAGAACAGATTTTTTATTGAAATGACATTTCAACAGTTTAACAGACTCAAATCAATACAAAACAATGGACAATAAACACATTTCTCCAAGTATATATTGTGTGCATATGAATCATCCATGAACTGTTTTAGGGAGAAAATGAACACAAATGCATACAATGTCTTAAGTGTGCATGTTCATTTACCTCTATTTGTTGGCATATACTGCCTTCTTACTACTAACTGTGGGAGTGTTTCAAGTTTGTAACTGGAGTATGGGTAAGAATTATGCCAAGCTGAAAATTTCTTATTTTGCTGAATGTTATTTTGTGTGTAGATTAAGGCAGATTCCAGGCATCTGCATTTTATTCAGTTTAGCATAAACATTAGCCATACTATTACCAAAATAGATAGAATTCATTAATGAATCGCATGCACACACAAGGCACAGTAGGCCTCCTGCAGTGCTCTATGGTCACTCATGCCCATGCCATGATCTCACTTCTGACCACTCTTCTCAAACCTGCCTATTTGCCTGTATAAATATGTTTACTGCTCATTGTTTTGCACTGATTTGAAAAACCCTATTACAAAGGCAAAAATACCATCTAAATAAAAGTTCTGTTCTGCATGTGTGTATTACAACTCATGTGAAATGGAACATTTCTCCCACTTAAGATCTATTGTTTTGGGAAGGCAATCTTGCATCTCCCAGTACAAAGCATAGGCATGCAATACCCATTTGTGACCCATGCTTCTTGTCATCACATAATAGTTACAACAGGATTTTCCAACAATTATAGAGAAATCTCACAAATTCAAGGCAAGATCAACTCAAATGCACTATTCACCTTGAGCACAAACCCTAATACAACAATGGCTTTCACTGTTATTGCAAACAAGTGTATTAAACCATTAAGTAAACTAGATATATTATTTCTCATCATTCTAAAGATCTTTCATAACTTACCTATTCCTTTAAATAACATACTACAGGAAAAGTTTCATGATCTATAATTCCCATCTTACTGAATCATATACTGTATTAAAATCATAACCGTACATAAGCTAAATAGAGAATTTAATCAAAATGCCTTAAGGTAACTTCTGTTGTGTCTGCCCAAAGGATAACTTTACCTGCTGACATGTAGAGTGAGACACATTAAAAGCATAGTAACATAATGAATAAAAAAGGATCAGCAATTCAGCATTTTGCAGATAAGTTGAACATTAAGAGTCAAGAGAATGTCAAGACGAGTTGCCATATATGATCCACGGTTTTTCTTCAAAAATAAAAATAATTAATCTAAGTATACTTATACAATATACACAACTGTAATGAATCCTTACATCTATACTGATAAAATGATATAATGTATGACAAAGAAGCAATCAACATAACCTCAAACTCCAAAGCCATATTTTTAAATTTGTGATCATCTGATGAAGTCTCTTCTGTTAGACAAATATAAATCCTCTGGCAAATAAGAGATCCCAGAATCAAAACTAAAAAGCAATGTTCTCATAAAACTATTCAACATGACTCAATTTAGAACCAATTGCATTTCTTGTTGCAAAAATAAACTATTATTATTACATACAGTACTATTATGTTCATCAAAAGTGCTTATTATTATTATTACTATTATCAAAGTGTTATACAGCACTGCAATCATGAGAAGTGCTAAACCCATAAAAATAAACAAAAAAATGAAGGCTAGAAAGGAAAGTTAATTTGAGGGCAATGAACTGTTCCAAGTACAGTACCATGAAGTACCTATTTAAACATTTGTACAATATGTTTAAATAGGTAAATTAAATATTTATGTTCAAGACACATGCAATGGAGTAAAACATTATCCAACATTAATACCTCAACCCCTGGAATCCCGTCCGTCCCCTAGAAACAAAAAAAAATATAAAGATATTAGTAAAGACAAAATGTGGATATATTTATGGCCGAGTCACATCATGGTTATTCAAGAGAGGCTTTTCATTTTTAGAACAGACTAATTGCTTTCATAAAAAAAATATAGTGTAATAAAATTTAAGTAGTGAATTCCAAAATAAAATATTTTTATATGGAGTAGTGATGACAGAATTTGGGCAGATGAAGAAACCAGAATACTAGGCTTAGGCAATACACGTATTTACAAGATTTCAATATAAATTTTAATAAAAACTAGCAAATATATGAAGATACATTTCACTATAAAGACTTCCAAATATTTCTAAAAAAATCTATAACCATCATCCACTAAAACTACAGCAGACTTGTGACGTGCATCCTTACAAGTTCTTGTTCTCATTAAGCAGTCTATATACTTAGAAGTCCTAAATTCATGTAACATGGTATATTCTGCATCCATTCAATGACTTAGATGAACAATCCACCTAGCTACTACACTGAAGTTTCAGTCATGCTTTGCTCAAACAACCCATTCTTCCTGGCTTATGTGAGTAAAGCTGTGGGCTAATCTATATATGTATCTACCTTTATCTCAATGTGTCTATCTCTGTTTATCTTCATCTCTCACACACACACACACACACACACACACACACACACACACACACACACACACACACACACACCACACACACACACACACACACACTCACACTCACACTCACACTCACCACTCACACACACACTCACACACTCACACACACTCACACACTCACACACACACTCACACACACACTCACACACACTCACACACACTCACACACACTCACACTCACTCACTCACTCACTCACTCTTTCTCACTCTCTCTTTCTCACTCTCACTCTCACACTCTCACTCTCACACTCTCATATTTTCATGCACATTCACTCAAGCATACTCACACCTCTCTCTCTCTCTCTCTCTCACCACTATCCTTTTATGATCCTAATTAATTGTAAATTATAAATGCAGAATAAACCCTGTACCTTACAATAATAATCATTCATGGAATGCTAATTATAAGGTTGCACATTAACATGAGAAACTATCTGAATTTTTAAGGCTCAATTTCCAAATGAGGCAGACTTAGGACCACTGTAATGTTCTGTTAATCCACCTCCTCTCATATACCCTCAGAGGTAGTTTTTCGCATATGACTTCTCCCCATAAATTTCTTGTGATACATGCATGGAAGGAAGTGTAGAACATTATTATGTTACTTCCAGATTATCACTTTTGGCTAACCATTCCTCCCTCTTTTTTTGACACCACAGTAAACTTTTACATTCCTACTCAACTATGAATTATAATTACAATTCCTAAGCCTTTCAGTAAAATTCAACATTGCAGTGCTTATTATAAATGCATATTGAAATGAGAAATAGATTGTATTTTGAACAAATATTCAACCCCTAGATGCAGTACTGTAGTATCTTATGTCTGGTATAATGTTATGCCAGAGACTTACAGGGCGAGTAGGCAAAGAATTTACCGAATATAGGTACATGGCCAATGTACACCTTCCATTCTTATCTCCATGTGTTTTCATATTCCTTGCTTTAGTATATATATGTCTAAAGATCTTCACTATTTACATATCACAGTCCAATACCCTAAGTCTATTTTTCTACAAGTTATTGAATTCATGCAATATGCTTTCATGCAAAGTGATTATTTTCAAGAATGTACGAACTGCATTACATGTGAACATACTGTACAGTCATCTGCCTCTTATCCAAACAGCTTGGGATCATGGCTTATTGGATAATTGAAAAATCCAGACATCTGGAGATACAGTAAAATATGTTATGTCCAGTGTTTCAATTAATAGTATCCCTTAGTTCTGGTAATTCCACTAATTAAAAGAAAAAAATTATCTTACATTTCATAAGGAAACATTCTGGTTTCTCAGTTTTCATAGACGAATAACACTTGCGGCAATGTGCGATCACCCTCTTCAATTACTTTCAACAAATGGTGTAAAAATAAAGCGAGTCAACGCGTTTATATCCAAACTGCTTTAACTGTATTCAAATTCATATTCTTGAGAAATGAGAACCAAAGAAAAGTTTGATGTGTGGGAAATTGATTGGGGCCACTTTAAAGTGTCTTAAATCTAATTTGTGTATTAACTTGACATTCACAAATGTAAGTACAGTAGACCCCAGGTTTTTGTAATTAATCCATTCCAGAAAGCTGGCCGAAATCCAAAATGGCCAAAAACCGAAGTAATATTTCCCATAAGAAATAATGTAAATCCAATTAATCCGTTTCAGACACCCAAAAATATTAACAAAAAATACATTTTAAAGAGAATAACTATAGTTTTACATACAGAAAACAATGAAAAATAATATAAATGACTAATTTTAATGATAAATGAACATTATATACCTTTACTGAGGACTCTTGTTAGTGAGTAGTATTTATTTGTGGTCCCAGGCAGACTACATTCCAGTGTACAGTGGACCCCCGCATACCGTACGCATCGCATACCGTACAATCCGCATACCGGACGCTTTGATCGCAAAAATTTGGCCTCGCATACCGCCCAAAATCCCGCTCACCGTCCTTCGTCCGAGACGCGTCCAATGTGCGGCCTGAGCCAGCCTCATATGTTCTGCCGGTGGCATTGTTTACCAGCCAGCCTCCGCGGTAACATCCAAGCATACAATCGGAATATTTCGTATTATTACAGTGTTTTCGGTGCTTTATCTGGAAAATAAGTGACCATGGGCCCCAAGAAAGCTTCTAGTGCCAACCCTACAGCAATAAGGGTGAGAATTCCAATAGAAATGAAGAAAGAGATCATTGATAAGTATGAAAGTGGAGTGCGTGTCTCCGAGCTGGTCAGGTTGTACAAGAAACCCAAATCAACCATCTCTACTATTGTGGGCAACAGAAAGGCAATCAAGGAAGCTGTTCTTGCCAAAGGTTCAACTGTGTTTTCGAAACAGAGATCGCAAGTGATGGAAGATGTTGAGAGACTCTTATTGGTGTGGATAAATGAAAAACAGCTAGCAGGAGATAGCGTCTCTCAAGCGATCATAAGCGAAAAGGCTAGGAAGTTGCATGAGGATTTAATTAAAAAAATGCCTGCAACTAGTGATGATGTGAGTGAATTTAAGGCCAGCAAAGGTTGGTTTGAGAGATTTAAGAAGCGTAGTGGCATACATAGTGTGATAAGGCATGGTGAGGCTGCCAGTTCGGACCACAAAGCAGCTGAAAAATATGTGCAGGAATTCAAGGAGTACATAGAAAGTGAAGGACTGAAACCTGAACAAGTGTTTAATTGTGATGAAACAGGCCTGTTTTGGAAGAAAATGCCAAGCAGGCCCTACATTACTCAGGAGGAAAAGGCACTCCCAGGACATAAGCCTATGAAAGACAGGCTTACTTTGTTGATGTGTTCCAATGCTACTGGTGATTGCAAAGTGAAGCCTTTATTAGTGTATCACTCTGAAACTCCCAGACCATTCAGGCAAAAGAATGTCCTCAAGGAGAATTTGTGTGTGCTGTGGAGGGCAAACAGTAAGGCATGGGTCACTAGGGACTTTTTCTATGACTGGTTACACCATGCATTGCCCCCAATGTGAAAGTTTACCTAACTGAAAAGAAATTAGAACTTAAGTGCCTCCTGGTGTTAGACAATGCCCCGGTCATCCTACAGACGTGGCAGAGCGACTTTATGGGGACATGAAATTCATTAAGGTGAAGTTTTTGCCTCCTAATACCACTCTCTCCTGCAGCCCATGGACCAGCAGGTTATTGCAAACTTCAAAAAACTGTACACAAAAGCTCTGTTTGAAAGGTGCTTTGTAGTGACCTCAGAAACTGGGACTGACTCTAAGAGACTTTTGGAGAGATCACTTTAATATCCTCAATTGTGTAAACCTTATAGGTAAGGCTTGGGAGGGAGTGACTAAGAAGACCTTGAACTCTGCTTGGAAGAAACTGTGGCCAAAATGTGTAGACAAAAGGGATTTTGAAGGGTTTGAGGCTAACCCTGAGAGGATTATGCCAGTTGAGGAATCCATTGTGGCATTGGGAAAGTCCTTAGGGTTGGAGGTTAGTGGGGATAAATGTGGAAGAGTTGGTGGAGGAGGACAATGAAGAACTAACCACTGATGAGCTGATAGATCAACTTCAACAGGAAGAGGCCAGACCTGAGGAAACTGGTTCAGATGAGGGGAGAGAGAAATTGAAGAAGTTGCTTACTACAAAGATTAAGGAAATCTGTGCAAAGTGGCTTGAAGTGCAAACCTTCATGGATGAAAATCATCCTCACACAGCTATTGCAAGCCGTGTTGGCAACCTGTACACTGACAATGTTGTGAAACACTTTAGGGAAGTCATAAAGGAACGAGAGGTACAGGCCACTATGGACAGATATGTTGTGCGAAAGAAGTCCAGTGACTCTGAAGCTGGTCCTAGTGGCATTAAAAGAAGAAGGGAAGTAACTCCAGAAAAGGACTCGACACCTCAAGTCTTAATGGAAGGGGATTCCCCTTCTAAACACTAACACTCTCTCTCCCCTCCTCCCATCCCATCAATCATCACCAGATCTTCAATAAAAGTAAGTGTCATGTAATTGTGCATACCTTTTTCAGTTTGTGTGTATTAAAATTAACATTTCATGTGGTAAAAAAAAATTTTTTTCATACTTTTGGGTGTCTTGCACGGATTAATTTGATTTCCATTATTTCTTATGGGGAAAATTCATTCGCATACCGAACATTTCGCATAACAACCAGCCCTCTTGCACGGATTAAGGTCGCTATGCGGGGGTCCACTGTATATACCTACTGGCTACATACACTGTGGCCTACAGCCATATTACCGTCGACATACCATGTTCACTAAGTTCAATCGTTTCTAACAACTACCTTTAGATGCCATCATAAACAAAGAGAGAAGTAATGAATAGTTCATGCCAAGAATTGTAAACAAA